AAAATCACCCATCTGAGCTACAAATCTTCTGCTCCATCTCAAGATGTTCTGTTATACAAATGATTATCTGTCAATATTCGATAGACAAAATCACAAGGTACTTAACGTTCATTTGTTATTTATGACTATTGCAAAATTTCCAAGTCATGAACCCATATTTGTAATTGGTTATTATTTCACTGATATATATGTTGATATGGATGCATTTACATTGAAGTATCCATCTATGTTTTGACAATTACAGGTGAGTCTGTTCACAGCTTACTATCTGAATGAGCTCAACAAACAAGGAGACTGCTCTATATCATACTTACTTTTCTTATGGATTTACGAATGTATTGCATTTGTCATCATAATACAAATTGTTTTAAATTCATTCATCGATTGTCATTCGAACGATAGTAATTCCAACATGACAATGGTTGCACAGGATTAATGGATGAATTTACATTGGTTATCTTTATTAGTTTACAAATATTCACAGAATTTCATTTGGAGTATTCTGAAGATTTGTGTTAACTGAAATGTTATTGATAATACATGTTCTGTTAAAAAGATTTTCGCCTGTTACATTCAATTTCGGCATTGAACTTATTCGTTTAAAATACGAACAGACATTGAAACACATTTCGATTATACTTGAAACTAGAAAATACCTAATTGCCTGGAATGATTTGTTGGACAATCGTATTTTCCAACTACATACGTGTCGTCACATTGACTAATAATTTGTTCTTTAGTGATTTATTATGTTAGTCTGACACTATTTTAGGCGGATGATTTCCATTGACCCACTAGACAACATCAACCGCGATAATTCCATCGATAGGTAAACAAAGAAAGTTTGCCCACTTAGAGGTAGTATAAAAGGACTTTGAACTTCAACATTAATAGTGTGCCGTTGACCCTAACTTTGGATTGTCTCCCTTTTTTACCTCACCTGTTCACGTGACGCTTTTATATGATAAATTGTAACTACTTCAGTAAGTTCAGTGACGGCTAAATGACCTGATTGCTACTTTTCTGAAAACCTGCTACTGATTCATGTATTTGTTCTTTCTCACATGTCGACAAACTCGGTCTACTTCCCTTGATATAAATTAATAACGATCGTGAAGTTTGATAATGATTGATGTTCATACAGCCAAAGACGAAGAGTGAGTTGTTTGTTCGTTGTATTAATTCTTGCAATGTTACATTTTATTTTAGTAAATTGACTCTATCTCTTCTTTGTTCGTCATAAACTTATTCAAACTGAATAGATCGATTGAAAAGAGTTTGTTAGTTTCTATAGTGAGTCAGTGTAAAATCATTTTCTAGGATATGCGGACGTTAGTTAGTCTCTGCATTCCATTTTGTGTAAGTCACTGAGTGTGATCTGTCCTGTTCAAATACATCCATTTGATTTCGTTATTCACCCTGTCAAATGTTGTGTGTGATAGTAATTCTGAAATCTTATTTCTATGTAGGATTTTGTGAATAAATTAACCCTTCATGTTTGACTGAGATTATTTGCCTTCACGATAAATAGATTTATCGACGCGGTTAACATCGAAGTTCCATGATGAACTGGAATTCGTAATTACAGTACTTGGATTGTTGAGAAGGGTCCAAAAAAATTTGAATTGATACATATATAGAAAATCGTACCAAATAAATATTAAACAAATTACTCACCTTCCAACAATTACTCGATTTGCAAACGAACTGTGTTTAAAGTGAAAATGTTCCAAGATTTCCTCAAAACATCTTTCTTTGTGGCGATCGAGAGGGGAATTCAAAAAATTAACAAGGATTGTTGAACTCCGCCTAAAGCTCTTCTAGAGTTTCTGTCAGGTTGAGAATGAGGTTGGCTTCACAAGCTCAGGGAGTTGCTCTAATGCTGTCCAGAGAAGCACGAAATGCACTTGAAGGATGGGAATCTCATGTACCCAGGATAACCAAAGCATCATTCAAAACAAAGAAAGAGGGGATCACAATGAATGTTATCCAATGTAATGCACCCACCAATGGTAGCAACGATGACAACAAAGATTGGTTTTGTGAAAATCTGCAATCAATTATAGTCAAGTACTCACGAAAGGACCTCACCATCCTGATTGAAGATCTGAATGGTAAAGTTGAAGTGGATAACACATGATATGATGATGTGATGGAACGACATGAAGTAGGAGAAGAAATGAAAACAAGGAGAGAGTTGTAAATCTATGTGCATTCAACAAATTGGTTACTTGCGGTACAATATTCCTACACAAACTCATACACATAGCTTCATGAGTCTGGCCGTAAAACACCACGGAGAACCAGATAGGTCATATTAGTATCAACAAAAAATGTCGAAGGACAATAGAAGAGGTGAGCATCAGGAGAGGAGCTGACCTAGCTTAGATCACCACCTGGTTGTGATCAAGATGAGACTGAAGCTACAGAAGTACTGGACAACTGCACAAATAGAACTACGAAGGTTCATTACAGCCTTCCCTCAAGATACTGACATGTTCAACGAAATGAAGATAATTACAATAACAGGTTCCAAGTTTTACATCATCCACGGGAAGAGCAAGAAAGTACATTGGAAAACAATAGGAAAGAGGTCAAAAAAGCAATAATTTCAACGTGTCAGGAGGTTTTGTGTCAAAATAAGCATCATCATAAGGAATGGAACTATATGTGAACCCTGGACAGGATACAAGAAAGGGAGAACAAGAAAATAGCAATTAACAACAGTCGAACATGAGCAGAGTAAGTCAAAGCACAAGCAGAGTTCGAGGGAGCTAACGGGCACTGAATCCAACATTCCAGAAATACATGCAAGAAATATCAACGACGGCGGGAATAGCTGCAAGAGACGGGAATATTATACAACTAAATGATACAACGAAGAAACTAGCAGGCATATACACTAAAGAACAAACACGGAAATTTAATCACGGGGATTCGATAACAGGGAAAAAGATTGGCAGAAAAATTCGCAAGACTGTTGAATAGACAGTCCACATATAATCTTGCGGACTTTGAATCAGCACATAGACCTCCCCATTGATGTCACTTCACCAACCATCAATGTCAAGCCATCAGACAAAGCACGAGCGGAAAAGCAGCAGGACCTGATAAAATACCAGCTGAAGCACTGAAGACAGAAATTGAAGTTACTGCAAACATGCTTCACCTTCTATTCAAGAAGATTTAGGAAGATGAAAAAATTCCGATAGAGTGTAAACAAGGATAACTCGTAGAAAAACCGATGAAAAGAGATTACAAAAAATTTAAAAATTACAAAGACATCAATTTCTTGCCAGCATCAGGAAGATTTTTCAACAGAGTGTTGCTGAACCGTATGAAAGACGCAGTGGATGCCTGATTTCGAGATCAACATGCTGGATTCCGTATGGATCGGTCGTTCACAGACCAAATTGCCACACCACATATCATGATCGAACAATCAGATGAGTGGAACTTGTCACATAACCTCAAGGTCATTGAATGTGAGAAGGCCTTTGACAGTGCGATTAGGAGAATATTATTGAAATTTCTCCGACACTATGCAGTTCTTGAGAATATCTTCAACATTATTCGGAACTCATACGACGGACTATAGCGCAAAGTGGTACATGAAGGACAGCTGACAGATGCAATCCCAGTAAGTACCGAAGTCAGACAAAGCTGTCTACTGTCTACAGTGCGGACAGAATAATTTTATGGAAATGATTACTAAATGTCTGGGCATGTAGAAGTAACATATGTCGTTGACCTGTGCAAAGGCTTCTTAGAAGCAAAGAAATAAAAAAACAACTTTTATTTTGGGTTGAAGTTTGGTTGTCTATCCGTACATTGCATTCAACTTTCTAGCCATAATGAAGTCACCAATTCTCAAACTTTGTTGTTGGGGTGGAAAATGTGCGAACAACAAGTGGTCACGTTGATGGTCGTTTATCAACGACTCCTAAAACTTTCAGACTATTGAGAGACGAAGTGCTACTGATTGGTATTCGACTAATTTTTTGATTACAATCACACTGGTTTTGATGATTATTTTGTCCAAAATATTTGTGAGCTTCTAATGAAAACCAATAATTAGAAACCACCCATCGAGTTTTCGATATTTGTCGTTTCACTTCAAGAAAACATCTACTTCACCATCAGCCATGATGAATAAGCATATGTCTCTTAATCAAATTGTATCATACCTCATCCCCATTTTCATTGATCATAAAAGCATACATTAGAAAACGAATAAGGTGAGTACTCAAGTGGAAATTTTTAATAACTCTTAATATTGTTAGTCAAATAATCCAACTCAAATGAGTAATCCTGTGTCACTGTTTCTTTAACTTCATTGTCTTTCAATTCTATTCCCAATACACGTCTGCTAAATCTGACACAATCATAAGTATGAAATGACATCAAGAATAATTCGATTCTCTTATAAAACACAACGTTATCTAGTAACTGTTCAATGAAGCATTTGCAATGTTTGTCGAACAACTGTGTTCATATGAATATAAATTTTTTCTAACCACTTTGGAATCTTGTGATTACCATTACATGACTAATTTTCAAGTGTTTATTGAACTACTGTGAATAGCAAATATATTTATTTATATAAACTAGTATAAATCTGTGGCGATAATTTGACGGAGAGGTAATGTTCATTTGCTCCGTTAGTTTGTTTCACCAAAGAGAGAGGTGCAACTTCTATTTGGAATTCATGATAAGCAGAGTTAAATGCAGTCGACAGTAAGCGTTTTATAAATCACTAGAGTGCAAAACCGTGAATTGACTGAAATTAGATGTCAACTGCATCTAGTATTGAGATTTATGTATTTACGTCCAATTAATTCTATGAAGTGATGCGATAGACAATTAGAGACACTGACTAATACGACAAAAGAAACGTTTCATAAACCTATAAGAACAGTCAAGATTTCATAGTTGTCAATCGGGATAATAATTTCTCTCTTAACTCAGTCCGTTCAGTCCCGAATGCCTGTATCAGCCTGCGCTATACGAATCATATATTTCATACATAACGTGTTTATATGTGAACAAACAAGACTGCAACATTGAGTAACATAAGATAACAATAATACGAGATCAAGGTGAAAGAGGCTGTGATTGTGAAATACAGTTATCAATAAATTGGGAATCGACTAAGAATGCTTGATCGTATAACAGTAATCAATCGGTAGAATGGAAGTTTACACCAAAAGGAATATGAATATATAGATAACACAGTTACTTACTAGTTACACAATAAGAATATATATATATATATTTAATAAGAGTCCACATAAAATTTCTAGCGGTTACCAATTGTTTGTTTACCACAGTTTTACTTATTATTTTGAAGAATCGAAGAACGGTCAATAGTCACGGATCCAGAAGTTGACACGCAAGTGTGAAAAGCCTAAATATTCAGCATGTTATTCAATCAATGTGAACGGTAGTTTATTTACGGTTAAAACATAATCCATTTGGTCACCGATTATCGGCAAATGTAGTTTGTTAACGGATAGTTCATATGACAAAGCTATAATAATAATAATAATAATAACATATTTCTGCATTAGCAGGTACACGCCATTTTTACAGGCATGATCTACAATTTACAACATATACTGGTTCACAGTATGCATCCCAAACAAGGTTGTTTAGTAATTATAATCTATAAAAGTTGATAGCAGTTCATTCGTTCACATATAATGTGTTTTCATAAGAATAGTTTCCAAAGGGGCATAGCGTCCACGTTATATACCAGATCCAATCTCGACAAAAAGTGTAATAGGGTTTCGGTAGTTCTAAGTATTTATGTAATGCAGCTTTTTAAGTTTATTGTTGTTATAAAGTAGGCTTGTGGAGCGCCTGGTTTGAGCTATGACCTTGGGAAAGCGCGTTCGTCAAGCTTTTTCCAGATGTCAGAAGTTACATAGCTTCACCCTCAGAGCAAGATTCTGAAGAGAAAAAATAAAAGAGAAACCGAGGAGCAGCAAGGCATTTGGATATGAGCGATAATCAATGCTTAACATTTATTAGTGGAACAGATGGAGGTATGATAAATTATTAGATTAAATTGATACTAGCTCATGTTGCAAGAGTAAACTGCGATTAGGGTCTCCAGAAGAGAGAAGGCAGTTATAAAGAACAATGAGTTGTTATATTTATCAAGGTGGAGTAGGTTCCAATGAAGGAGGGAAGTCATTGGAATGAGGAAGAACAGAGAGTGCATATAGAGAGTAGTGTTAAGTAAAATAACAACCATATCCTTTACAGTCAGTTTTTTTTTCTTTTCTCATCCGATGCCTGCCACACAGTGTTCATGTAAAAGTCCGAGTTAGCATGTTAAAGGTTGTCTTAGTAGAATAGTTAATCCAGCACAAAAATTGGAAACATGAGTCTTAATGGTGAGTGTAGGTGAACAATCTCAATATCACAGATCTATTGACTTGTTCTCATCCATAAAGAGCCTGATACAAACAAAATGTTCTGCCCCACAAACACGGGTGGATTGAAATCATCGCCCACACCATCAGTGCTTGCTGGTCAGTAACTCCACCCTCCCTCCTTTTGTGATGTTAGGCTCATTTACGATTATTTTTTGGATACATATCATACCTCACACAATGCTCTGTGTTTCACATCCTATTGGAAAACACTATTTCTATAAGTACCATGTTACAAGCTTATCAGGCAGTTACAAATTATGGACTGTGGGTAAGGCTTCGATGCTATGTTTTTATTGACTATATAGTGAAGTGTAGGTTACGAATCAGAGTATAGGCATTAGGAAGGATATAGTGTAGAATATTTCTTTACCATAGTAGGCAGAAAAATGGAGATTTATATTAGTTACAGATAAGGTAAGATAACGAGTGGTGAAATAATATTGATGGCAAGGCAACATAGTGTACAGATGAGTAAAAAACTGATAAATAGACAAGAAGTAACTCACACTAAATTCGCGCTGAGGTTGTTTTGTTCTATGCTAACCGGTTGATGGGTGGCAGTAGTCAGTCGATTGTGCGTTTCTTCTGGTGTTTTAGGGTATTTATAGGCGTCGTTTAGCGACCAAGTATTGATAGATCCAGTGAGTTGCCTGTCTACTTCAATTGAAAAGAATTAATGAGGGGAAAGTATCTAATACAACTACAAGGTAGGGAAATAAGGCGATTCAGTCTATATATGTAGAGAGCCTATGATGTCTGTGTGGGACGTGGATGTGTTCGTTTGCACCAGATCTATGCTGGTGAGGGGTTGATTAATGAGTCTTGTAAACGTATGTAATTTGTCTGCCATGCGTACTTCAGAAGGCAGACTGTTCCATATCAATGCGTACTTGATAAGGAAGAAGTTTTCACGTGTTTTTGATCTGTGTTTTTCAATTTTGACAGTGGATACTTTGTCTCGAAGGTTGTATCCATGTGAGTCTTGGTAGAGAGCTATATTACATGTGGAATAAGTAAGGTTTTTAAGGAGTTTAAAATAAAGAATTAAGTTAGACCTAAGCCTTCTTTTCCAGAGGGGTTCTAGTCCTAAGATATGGCATCTGGATTTGTAGTCAGTGAGTTGGTCATTCTTAAGTATTTTGCGAGTGAAGTCTCGCTGTATTCCTTCCACCTTAAGTATATCAGATAGGCGTAGGTTGGAAAATAAGAACGAGCAGTATTCGACGATGGGTCTTACGCAGGTTTTATACAGGATGATTTTAGTTTCCTTTTGAAAGAAATTACGAAGGATGAAGCCAAGCAATCTCCGTGTTTGAGATGCTTTAGTTGAAATATGTTCAGAGAACTTAAGACTGTCGGAGTAATGTACCCCAAGGTCAGTTACTGATGTCAGTCTGAGCAGTGGGTTTTTGTTAAGTGCTAGTTTTAATTTAAGTGACGTGTTACCAATACATAGCCAACCGCATTTCTCTGTGTTGAGCTCTAGCCCCCAGCGTTTGCACCAGTCGTCTACATTGTTGAGTTCATGTTGGATCGTTTGCATAGTACTTCGTACATCACCAACGTCAGTTTTATAGATGACTTTTAAGTCATCAGCGTAAAGGTAGGTCTTACCTGTAGTAAAGCACTTGCATATATTGTTGATATAAATTATAAAGAGCAATGGGCCCAAGACACTACCCTGCACAACACCACTGGTTATTGGTCGAGGTGTAGATGTTGTAGAGTTAAGCTTGGTTATTTGGTATCTGTTTGTGAGGAAAGACTTAATCCATTGCAATAGGGGGTTTATAATTCCAACTGACTGGAGTCTGTTGATTAGAAGATTATGGGGTACTTTGTCAAAGGCTTTCTTTATATCGAAATAAAGTATAATCACTAGCTTTTTCTGGTCACGTATGCGAGTAACCTCGTTAAAGAAGTCTATCAGACATGTACTACATGATCTTGTTCTAATGAAACCATGTTGTGTTGGGTCTATTAGTTCTTCCTTAAGTAGGTGATCTGATAGTTGACTTTGTATCACTTTTTCCATTATGCGCGAAATAACGGGGGTGATATTTATAGGTCTGTAGTTTCCGACCAGGTTTCTCGGTCCTGATTTGTGTTTGGGAAGAACATACGTTACCTTCCAGGCTTCAGGATATGTACCCGCCTCTAAAGATAGTGTGTATATTTTGAGCAATAACGTATGTATATCCGGCCCCGACATTTTATAGAGAATTGATGGTATATCATCAACACCAGAGCTCGCATTCGGCTTAAGGGTTTTGATGGCGGTATGTATACTCCTAATGTCAAAGTTTATGGTGCTAATATAGCTTTTGCTTATGCATTTTATGTTAAAATCTGGGGCATTAGATGTATTCCCGTTTTGTGAAAACCATTCACTTAGCAGTTCGCATATGACTGTTGGGTCATAGTACGTCACGCCATCGTGCAGTAAAGAGTGAATGTTGTGATCTTTGTTCTTTCTCATCCGTTTTTCAAGGAGCCGACATAAGTTTTGGACTTTAGATGCAGCTGTGAGCGCAGTACGTTCTTCTGTCTGTTTGTTTTTGTTGTGATGACTTTGCACTCCTTCAAGTACTGAGTATACCTGGTGCAGGGCACTAAAGTCTTTTGATGTAAAGTACGTCTTTCTTAGTTTTCGTAGCTTAGACTTAGCCTTTTGGTTGATGTAGGGAGCAATTGTTTTGAAAGCAATTTTAGAAGGGATGGTAGTGTCTAGTGCAGATTTGGTGGTAGTATTGAATATTTCCAGTGTTTCTAAAAGGTTATCACTGGTGAAGAAAGTGTTCCAGTCAGAATGCTTTATAAGAAACCGGAAGTTACTCCAGTCGGCGTTTGTATAGTCTCTATATTGGAAACACGTATTTAATGTCTTTAATTTTTTGCGCTTGGCAAGAATCGGAAGGGTGCAGAAGACTATTTTATGATCGCTATTATGGAACTTCTCGCCAACCACCATTGATGCTGGTGTGACATTGTGACAGAATATTAAATCAAGAATGTTGTGGTTTCGGGTAGGCAGGTTAACATGTTGCTGCCAACCGTGTATGTCTAAGGACCTTAGTATTCCTTCGTAGCACGGTGGGCCAGAATGTGTCTTCCAGTTGATGGTTGGAAGGTTGAAATCACCACAGACAATTTTGTAGGCGAAGTCAAGCGAGGCAGCCTTAGCAAATGACTCACTTATAATGGTGTCAGTCAGACTGGGGGTATTCGGAGCTCGATATATACATCCGATTAGTATTTTACATTCAAGGCTGTGTACAGTAAGCCACATCGAATCTGGTACTTTACTGAGGATATGATCACTAAAGATTTCCGTCCTCATGTTTTTTGATGCATATATGAGACAACCGCCACCCTTCTTGGTGACTCGGTCACAGCGGAAGAGCTCATACGTGTCTATTTGGAGGTACGTGTCTGTGATATCGGAGGACAACCAACTTTCCGTTATCAAAACAAGTGAGGGGTTGTGTAAAAATAATAGGGCGCGTAGTTGAGTCATCTTATTCTGAATAGATCGGGCATTAATTAACATTAGTGTCAGGAAGGATGAGTGTTTGTCTAATAAAATGGTGTGCTGTAAACCCTGTGGTTTGTCGCTTTTACTATGAGAAGAGGAAAAAGTGGGAGTATTGGCTCTACGTTCTTGTTTGTTTAGTTTAATACCAGCATAGTTAACGGGAGAAAGGTGGTCGTAGGTTATTTTGGCGAAAGAAGTATGTTCACGAGTGTTGGGTAGAATCGGGTGAGTTAAATGGATAGGCGGTGCATTCGGGGGGTGATCATGTTCCGTCAAGGAGCTTTTAAGACGAGAGACAGTTATCGACGGTGATAAAGATGTGTCACTCCCCATCAGGTCGGAGTATATAGAAGGTGGTCTCAGAATAGTGGAATTGTCGCCCTCAACATTTGGAGACCCCATAGCAATACTGTTGAGGGGGAGAGAGATAAAAAAGGATGAGGTGGTGTGTGTGCCAAATTAGGGGAGATCAGAGAGTTATAAAAGGTGGTTTGGTTCTGGTAGTATTCAGAATCGATAGGTGGGTCCCCAAGCAGGCCAACATTATGGTTGTCTTGTGTGCAGTGGGGTGTTCTACTCCTGTTACGGGTAGTTAGGGGAGTTGTATGTTTCAAATAATTATTGCATGATTGTCTGACATTGTTGCCGGGGATGGTGTTCCTGTTGTGTGGGCTGTGCTGATTCCTGTAACCTGCATGTTTTAAGCTATATGGCTTATTGGCATCATGCGTAAGTGTGGTTTTTGTCGGGCGTAACCTCACGTTAGGATATGGGGGTACTGCCAGTTCATTATGCTTGTTGTAATGCATTCGACTACTATGAGTAGGTGCGTGTTGTGTATTGAGAGATCTGGAGTACTTATGGGTGTTTAGAGAGAATTTGGTATTATTTCGCATTACAGTGTTTGGGTGGTTATAGCTATTAGAGCGATCGATGTGAGGCTTGGGTTTTGGCTTTTCATCAGAGCCACAAGAAGAGTGTTTTGAAACTGTAGATGCATAGGTGGGTGGGCATTTTGTTGTAGTTGAGTGTTTGGGTTTAGGGTGAATGGTTACAGCTGCCTGGTGTCTAGTCTTGTTCTTAGGACTAGTAGCAGTATGCGGCGTGCCTCCGTTTTTGGGAGGGGTGGGGTATGGTGTTTTAGGGATAGCGCTATGGCCAACGTTGTAACTGCCGCTACCACTAAGGCTGGGTTGATTGTTTTGCACTTCATTGGAGTTTCGACGTTGGATGGCAGTCTTGTCATGGGTGATTCTAACTTTCTTAAAGGTTGGAATGCGCCTCAGTAAAGACTGGCTTTTAAGGAGGTGATTGGCTTCTATGATACTACCAAACTGAAATAGAATGGGACAAGAGGCTTTAGTCTGTGTTTTACGTAATCTTCTCGCTACACACCAAGATTGCGACAGTCCACATTCTTGTAGTAGAGTATTTTTAGCAAGCTTTAGATTCGTACTATCAGGTACATTATACGCAATGACATTGTGCATACACTGAAGTCTTTTCAGCACTTCAGCTGATATGTGGTCAATTATTTTTTCAGTGTTTTTTATAATTTCGAGATCAGGATTTTCCGGAACACTGATTAGGTATTTATACGGTAATAGGTCTTGAATAGTTTGGGTGAGGCTAGATTTTATTTGACTGCTTTTAGAACTATCACTGGTGAGATTATTAGAGTCTATATCAACATTATTATGGTTCATTTGGTTGCATAAACATTTGTTGCAACTGTCTACCGGGTGGTCATCTTGTGCGTACTTAGTTGGGGGATAAGGTATATGTTTGGGTGAGTAGTCGAGATCTACATTATTAGGCTGGCTACTGTAAGTGGGCTTATGTGCACTCTGTTGGCCATTACACAGGATGACCGATTGTGGATTTATTGTGTGTATGGGGTCAACCGCACTGTCTAAATACCGCTCACAACGTGTAATGTGTGGGCTGTCAAATGATGTCGGGGTAGGCGGTAGGTGATTACTCTTATTTATATCTACAAGCGAGATGCAAGGTAGTGACAGGTCATGTCCAAGTACATGGTGCACGTGTAGTGTAGCTGTAGGAAGATCAGAGTATGATGCAGACTGATCAGTGTGTTTAGAAAGCTTCACATTATTCGCGTGAGTGGTGGATTTAGATCTTTTGCACGTGCTATGAGCATCAGGAGAGATTATGTGCTTTTTAGATGACCTGGACATTATTAGAAGTAATGTAAATATAAATTTTGTATTGGGTGAGCAGCGACTGCTGTATCTTTACTTACTAGATGTGTAAAGTTTTATGGTAGAGTCAGATCAATATTTGCTAATAGCTAATATATTAACGATAGTGAAAGAGGAAAGGTGGTCAGCGTGTGAAATAGTGAGCTTAATGTACTACGTTGAATCACAGGATGGGGTGTCAAATTAATAGAGCCCTATCAGAAATGAAGTATTTTTTCACTAATAAATGTTGTTAAATTAGAAGGAAACACTAATAATAATAAAAAGTACAACCACGTGAAAAAAAGTTACAACCTTCAAAAGAAGCGCCAGATATTATGCACTGCAGGTGATTTTGAAGAACAGAGGTGAATGTGTGTGCGAGCAAATACAGAGACAAATTCCTAGTCAAATAGAATATGACACAAATTGGCAAGGAGGAGGCTTATTATCGGATTCGTGTACATCTATACATAGAGAAGAGAATGAATCATCGATCAATATTTAAACTATCAACATTTTAGCTGAAGTGTGTTATCTGATGTCGCGTGTATATTTATACAGGTATGATAGTGATTATACTACTACAAATAAATATACGATTTGTGACTGTACAAATAACAATGTCTGTTGAGTTAGGTAATTAAAAAGCCTATCCAACATTAGGATAGTCGCTATAACAGTTGATAAAAGCATGGAAATTCTTCTAACAAATATTTGAGAGCATCAATATTATCTTCAGGTGGAAAGGTAGCATTTCAACCACGTTCTTTCAACGTTTACAGTCAAGGAAATACCAATTGAATTGACAACCATTCAGTGAATGTTTAATCACTGTAAATTTGCTTACTATTTATAATAGTTGAAGATTGAGTACATTTTTCATAAAGAAGAAATCGATGACTATTTTGGAATAAATATTTGTATGATGTATTACAACTATTTTCACTTCTTGATAACCAATGTAATTCAATTTTACTAGTCGAAATCGTTACAAATAACAAGTTGAGTTTTCAAACAAGTAAATCAACAGTTTGATTGTTTTACAAATGAGTTATTGAGATCTTTGTTCATTGTGATGTTTGTAATTCTGTATTTTATAAAGAAGCAGAACGGATATCAAGAAATAATCGTAATATAAAATAATACACGAATGTTCTACTAATGTTTATCAAAACGACTAAACATTTTGAGTGATACTCATACAATAGGATAAGAATGTCCATCAGTTGGCAGGTCACGTGCGACGAGGATAGACAATCGACATATATCTGAACACTATACTCGGATCTTAAGCTAGTCTCGTAACCCTCCAGCTTAATCTAAACAGCGACTTGAATACAACAGAAAAGGCGAACAATATGCAGCAAGCACTTTAATCCAAAGATTGAATTGTGTACAGAACATATAGGATTGTTATAGAAATAAGGAAGTCTTTGGTTTTTCCTGAAAATTCTGGAATGCTACCAAACATAGTGGCAGTGTGTTAATCAGAAACCATACATGCGACTTTTCATTTTCGTGATATTTCTAGCAAATGTTTTAATCAAACCTTTGATGTTATAGTTTAAAACACGTGACCATTTCTGAAATATATTTTTGTTCATCAAAAACCTTCATAACAGCGAATCTCGTATATCAATGTACAGTCTGTGTTCGACCACTCCTCGAATACTGCGTGTTTCTCCTTAGTAGCACGCGCATAAAGGATAAATTAAAACTGGAATCAGTACAGAAACGATTTACATTTCGGACTCTTAGACCTGATAGTGTCTTGACATATAATTCGAGGTGTAGTAAACTAGGGCTTGACCCTTTATGGATGAGGAGACTGAAACTTAACCTTATCTTCTTTTTCAAAATACTTAACAAACTCTCCTTCACATCCAGTCAGGCGATTCAATATGCTAAGGCCTCACATTACGACACTCGTAACTCCTTGTCTTTAGCGAAACAAACATATTCTAGATTTTCTCTCTATATGAATTACTTTACCTGTGAGTTTTCTAGACTTTGGAATAATTTACCCCAAACTATCCGTATGTTAGACTCTCTCTCATTGTTTGTTCGCTCAATTATTGCTTCTTGGTCCTCTGAAAATGCATTAAATGCTCTAGCGCTTGCAAGTGTATCTTACTCCACAAGTGAGATTATAGGAACTTTAAATGTTTAACCTCTTACTTGCTATCATTGTTTTGATGTTCCGTGCTCTTTGCTTTAATCTTACTTTCTCTAGTTGTAGATAATTAATAATAACTCGCTCTGGCACTGGCAATAACCTTACAGAACAATGTTGATCAATCATCAGGCTATCCACTTAATAAAAAAATGACAAGTTCCCTGGTGTTGCATTGGCTTGCCGTGACATATGCCATATTTAAACTATTTATCAATTACTAAACCAGCAAACATAAAACTTTCTTATATTTCATGTTTGTTCTCTACATTAAATGTTGATTTTCATAACAATCTGATCATGCCTGTAAACTGGTGTGAATTCTGTTAATATTATTTTCAGAATATATATTATTATTATTATATCTACGGAAACGGCTTACCTGTTTGTATTCTATGCTTAATCTTATGATGAAATACCTCACTATAACCTAAACATATCACCAATGAATTACGTGATTTTGTCTTCAACCACAGTTATGTATCTAATAAATACTAATGTTAGTGGGAGAGTGAAGACTGATAGCAGTATCGGACAATTTTATTCATTCATTTCAATCAAGGGATACTTGTGAATTACAATTATAAAACTAATTATTTTTCGAAGTTATTTCTTGTTGACTGTAAGCTATGAATTTTATATAAAAAAATATGATGCATATTGCACAATATTCTGCACGTTACCTGTAAAGTATGATCGATAAAGGAACCCATCATTGATGAAGTGAAACTATCACCGCCACATGAACATTTTTGACCTTGTATGACTATGTCTCATTTATCAATCAATCACAATATTTTTGTTTGATTGTAAAACAATATTTTCCTTGTTAACTCATTTCTTCCATCCTCTAGTTACAGTTCGGTATGCTACTTATGTCTCTCTTTTTCCCTATTTAATGGACTGTACTGTTTATTGGAATATTAGTTAATTTATATTTTGGAAACAGGTAGAGTTTATTAGGCCAAACAACTTACTTGTTCTGATTTTGACAGATACCAAGACTCTTTGCTCAACAGTTTTGAGGATAGCTTAGAGTTGTACCTGTGGGAAATATCCTCATGCTCAATCAATGTATGTTTTCCGTTATATGGAATTTACATTGCTGAAACTTTATTTATCTCCATTATGATTTGGATATTTACGTAAAACGATGAATCTGTCGATATTGTTCATTATTAGATTTCAGTGACATAAGTATTAGTTATGTATGAAACATTAGTGAAATGATAAAAGAGAGGTTAGTATTTTAATGGCCTGAGATATGAATCTTATTAGATTGTATGAATAATTGCTGACAAAATACATATATATATCGGCAAACCTCGAACAAAATCACCAACTTGACTCGCATTCGTGAATAACGGAATTAAATAAGTAAAATAAGAGAATGGATTTTTGAATATGACTATTTCATACACTCAGAGATTTGAATAGGCAATCAAGTAGATGAATTAAAGAGGGAAGTGCGAAGTGGATTGGAGAACGCAAACGAGCGACATCGATTTATTCAAGCAATAAATAATATTTAATGTCACACAACAATAAGCTACAGATATGTGACCGGTTGGATAAGAAATGTACACACATACGCTCATATAAAAGCAAAATTGATAACTGAATAATTAACAGGGTTCAAAAGTGACTCAAGAAAATTGGATAAATTGGCCTGTTCAGAAGTTGGAATAAGTAATATGGGCTTCACATTGTAACTGAGACTGATATGGTTGAAGTATCGTGGCTCAGTTTGCTAAAAATAACGAATTTGCTTTTTTACGAGACTAAAGGTTATAAGTTTCAGTTCAAAGTTATTACGTATTTTGATTTGTTGAAATACTTTTTGAACTCAATCCATTTGTAATTGAATTTCATTGTTATGGCTAGGCGAATTCGATATTACGACTGGTCTACAATATTTTTTCCCTCTGACATGTAGATTGTGATAATACGGTTATGAGATTATTCACAACATGTCAGAACCTGGATTAGAGACCCAATTGTGAAGAACCGGAATAACACTAGAGAATACTTCGTTCCATAGAATTGCAAGCAGCCACGCACGGTGAATTCAGAATAGAAATCAATATTAGGAAAGGAAACCACGAGTTTAATAGTCCGTCATTTGTGGCTGTTTATCCATGTTCACACTTTACCTTCATTATCGACCAATAATAATAAAGGGTAGTTCGATCAAAATGGTAATTCTATGTGCCTTTATCTGTTGAATGAATTATTTAAAGTTATAACAAATATTACGATATTAGACACATTGACATCAATTAGTTATCATGTTCAACCATAGTTCATAAAGAAAATTTCCCACAACTGATACTGTTTAAAGAAATGAACTTACAATGTAACTTATATTTAAGCAATTCACACTTTACATCACTTTCTAATGTTTGTTTAACAACCATGAAATATCAAGTATCATTGCATTGTGGAGTATAGAACTTATCACCAGTGCATATTCACAACTTCTATGGAAAGCCTACAGTCGAATAATACATTAATTTCTACAGTGCAGTACCAGTCAAATGCGAAAGACATTTCATAAACATTTTCACTCGTCGTGCTCATTTTCGCAAATGTCGTCGTAGGAATTGATAATCAATGAAATTCATCGACAAACACATAAAGAAGACTAGAAGAAGTACAAAGGTACCTACCGTTCCGAAGAAGTTATTATTCTTATTGTTATAAATTCTTATTGATGCTGCAGAAGAAATGGTGACACAGAGGTTAAATAAAGCAGTAACAAAAGAATTATAACAGCCAGACTGAGTACCATCTTCCACAAACGCTTCACAAAAGAGCGTTTTATACAGACATATTGCCTGAATTCACCACATCTATGTGTATTCACCAATTCCGCTACTTCTGCGGAGCCAGTTGTATAAGGCGTACAATTCGGCAAGTTCGACAACAAATAACAGATCACTATCTGAAGTGTGTAAGCACAAGACAGGTAAATGTGATTGAGTGTTCTATTCTCGATCACTTGCTGGACACAGATCAGCAGATTGCACTGAACTGACCATTTAAGGTTAAACAACATATTGCATCAAATTTGCCGCACGGTCTACGTGTTCCGTTTTTGCGCATTGTTGAATCCATCGCAATCCATGTCCACAAATCTAACCTTTGTATCCAAA